CATCGCCCCGCATACTGCTTCCATTTAGAATCGTAGTGGCGTACTGATTGTGTTTGTGGCTTGCCTACAATGAGACACATACCCAGGTTGAAGCTTCTGGGAGGAACTGCAACCGGGAAACACGTACTGCGTGCGTACTGTCGTTTTTGCCAAAGCTCGGAAGGTTTGTATTAGCAAGGATCTTCGAGTGGTTCGCTCCTCGTAAGTTAATCTCGTGCGAACGACTTCATACAAAACGCCGAACATAAAGGGATGTAGTGAAAGAACTAGGGTGCTTCAAGGGTGCTGAGCAAGGCGGTATTGGAGGATTCTCGGAAACCCACCTCGAGAAGCCTGACTGGATCAAGACCTAGTTGTTCCAAAACACCTGGGCGATACGGATCGAGAAGTACATCGCTGGTTTGGCAGAGTTTTTTGAGCTTCTCTACATCTTTTGATGATTTCAGATCCAGACTTTGTTGTGTTTTACGTTCTGCCATGCGCTGTTCCATGGGTATGTCTCCATCGCGGATAGGCTAAAAGCAAGTTTATAAGCGGATTCTCTCGTTTTATCCATCATCGTAGCAAACCTTATCAATAACTGTGACAGTAGCACCGAAGTCAGCTAACACCATCCCACAGTGGGGTACAGGAGCAAGTCCGGCCAGCTCGATGACTCGAACTCCATGTAGGAGAGTGCGGTTCATCTGTGGTTCTCACCACTCTCAGAATCGAGGGCTAACCGGTAAACATTAGAATGTCGAACAATTGGTCGTGGGAAAATATGGAACAACGGATTGGACAAAAATTGATCCGAAAAGTCGTTAAGGGCAGGCAAGACTCTGAGGGTGGTGTGCCAAAAACTACAATGTCGGAGATGTAAGAGCATGTGATTTCACAACAGAAAGTAAAATCCCTAATTTAAGACTTGAGTTACTGAACATTTCTGAAAAGGAATTCTCGTGACAGCTTTACAAATAGTATACTTCTGGAAAAATTGTGGAAATCAAAAAGGAGGGTCAACCCAAGTTTACAACAGGCCAGTGTAGTGGGGCCTCTGGGAATAGAAGTCTATCTGAATTCTTGGAGAGCGGGAACGTGGTATGGACAAAGAGAGAACAGAACGATACAGTGTTGGCCGAGTTGGGAGGGGCTCACTCTGTAGTAGACGTACATAGCTGTGTGAGGAAAGAGCTGTGAAAGGAACAGTTCGTTATGGTGAATTGCTCGGCATATCAACTTTCTTTTCGTAGATATACGTTCTATTCAAGAGAGAAACCTAGGAAGAATATTTGGCTCGTCTGTTCCCAGCCCATGCGCAAGCTCGGTCTATGCAGTGGAAGATTTCAGGGGAAATTCTCACAACATCATCTTTGCAGGTTCTCCCTCCAGTTAGTGCAACAATATGCCCATTTGCTAAAACCGTCAACTCATTGTAGGGCCCATGAAATCATTCACACAAGCTTCAGTTCTGAGGGAAGTCAAATTCATGGCGCATACCAGAACTTATTGATTGTTGTCATGCACTTTGGCTATCTCTTCCCGCGATATCATTGCAAATGTCATAAAGTCGTTAGAAATGATATCAACATTGCAACTGAAACAATGACCCACCAATGTGGGGAACTGCCCGAAATATTTACGTTTGTAAAATAGACTTTTTCTTGAGAACTGAACAAGAGCAGAGGGAAGGATGAAGGCGATTTCACTAGGGAAATAGGGAAAATAACTATAATGGAAGGATGTGGACGAGAAAAGTGAAGCCAATGAGTAGCCATGTAATTGGGTGCAATGCCTTCCAGTAATCCAAAGAACGTTGATAGAGTCTCCTTAGCTCGTCTATAACGAGAACGGGCAGGGATGGTGGTCTTTGGTATTGGGTAGGTTGTTTTCGATCAATTGTTGATAAGACACACGTGCAAACTACGATGTAATGCTGGCAAAACGAACTGCTACCTATTGTTACGCCAGGTTTCCTGGAGAACCAAAAAGGTTCAGTTTGATTTAGTCGAAACCATGTAGAGCTTATTCAACTTATGCGCAAACCAACCGGCCTTAGGAATTGTGATTAGTATGGTAGAAACATTCAGATTTGCAATGATGACGTGAATGTGGTAGAAATTTGAACTAGTCGACTCAATTCTGGGCAAAAGTGGGTAACTTTTTTGGCGACAGAGCTTCTACCCAAAGTCAAGAGTTTACTGGGCTGCCCATATTCACCTAATTAATTTGCTCAGATCCTATTGGTTCACGGTTGATATCCTATGAGTAGGAATAGTAACCATGAGTTCTTATTTGTACATGGGCTAGCTACGTGTAGACCACATACGCATTCAAAACACGGCTACGATTCTGAATGTAGGGCGGAAGCAGGGCGCATCTCGACGAGGCCATCGATCAGCACCAAAGGTTTTTATTAATCAGTCATTCTAAACTACATCAAGAGCAAGACTGACGAAGGGACTTTACCCTGTCCCTTCCCTTGTCCCAAGTAAACTATGTTCCTTTTTAAGTACAGGCACTCAGTTCTCACCGTTATGTGGGCGAAAGAGCTTCTCGTCTTGAACATTGCAGACTTAGATTAACTTCCTCGTTTTTAGGACAAAAGGCTGAACATACTTGCGAGTTTGGGGGGTAGGGCAAGCGGGTAATGAAAAGCAGTAAATCATTTTTCTGTTTTTTTTTTNTTTTGAAGAAGTAAGTGGAAAAGCTAAGTATGTTGGGTGGTCACACTGGTGTGCCATTTTCAGACTTCAGCACGGCTACGAATGTAAGTACCAATTTCGTTAGTTGCCATTCTTCGTCGAAGTGGTTGTAGTAAAATCAATGATGCGGAAGAAGACATCGTTGGAGGCATTTCGGGAACAACTAATTCCTTCATTCTATAGATTAGGATACCAACCCATTCATTCCAAAAGAAAAGGGTTTCAGATCATCTGTTGGGACAGCTCACATTCTTGCTTTAGTGTATGGGATAGTGATACTGTGGAAGGCTCCTGTTCACAAGTACACATTACTTCGACCTTGAATCAGTAATAAAAAAGAAGATATTGGTTGAGGCTGCTTAGAAAAAGAGTTAAGATATTTTCTTGTTAAAATTAAAGGAATCAAAGTTTGTATTCTCTTCTTCCAGCAGCTATCTTGAATAAGCATCATCTAGCAAATCGCATTTCAGCAGGAATCGTTGTTGAATTCAATCGTGAAAACTTCTTTCACAATCAAAATATTCTACTTTCTACTAACACACAAAACATTTTCTCCTACCATTGGTCAACTGTGGTGACTAGTGAAAATTTAGACTTGCTACATACATATCTTTGGTGGGGGAGGGGGCCACTGGAGGGCTCTTGAAGAACGATAGTGCTCTCATTGTTCGAATCAGATAGCTAAAACTGTTATAAGAAACATCACTGAGACCTTTCACATCTCCCTCTATTTCGAAGTGACATAGTTTTGGGCTCTCATGTCAGTGAGACTTCTGGGATTAATCGTCGACACAGCTCCGAACGGATATCCCTCCGTCGCATTTCTTTGGGCAGGATTAACGGCAACTTTCGTAGTAAAAAAACTTTCAGGTACAAGGCATCCTTCCTTCGATCAGTTTGCACATAAGCTCTTCAGCCACATTCGACTGTATGTCTGGAAAAGTTTTTGTGAAAGCGTTTCCACAATTTCGCACACGTCACTTCCCCCAGATACAACGTCCCTGAGCAATGCCAAAGATTGTTTTCATTCTAATTTTGCAGAGCCTCCAATTGAAAACCTTGTTTGGAAGCCTTAAATTCTCAGAGTATTCACAGAAGCCTTATCTCTTACTGTGAACAAGTCTGTCAACAATTTTTCAATCTGAAATGAAAAGTAGAGTCTAAACAGTTAAAAACTCGTTCGACACTGTTCTCAAACTTTTAAGGATTATAACGTTGAATGGAAATTCCAGCTGGGTGATGGGCCTAAGATTACTTGTTATTCTTACAAGTACGGGTTCGAGTACCGTCCGAGACTGAAGTTTTGTCCATTAATCGCCAACCTTGTGAATTCTTTGAATTATACATGAGTGATGGCAGTCAACTGATCACTTTCCACTACAACACTTCCGCTCCCTTATAAACAAAAA